GGCACAGCTGGATCTAGGGCCTCCAGGATAATGACATCAGAACTTAATTCTCTTTCCTTTCTGCTAGCCTCTGAGTTGCTCCTGAGACAGACTCTCTCCAAATGGTACAAATTCAGCTTTACACAGTCCTTAGTTCATGGGATCTCCATAGAGCCTTCTTTCCAATAGTTCCAGCAGAAGTTCTGTTGACGGCTCTCTTTAGCCTGGCTTGAGTTACATCCCATTCTTTAATCACTGTGGCTAGGGAGCTGCAGGACTCAGGAAGGCCAGGCCTGGTCATATACTCACCTAAGTCACAGGGAATGGGTTCCTCACAATAAATAAGGGTTCTGTTACCAGAAGATGGGGAAAGAGATGCTGAACAAACAAAAACAACATATAGCCACACGTAACCCAACAGAAAAGCAGGTAAAGGATACAAACAATCCATGGAAAAACTATAAATGGCCAATAGACATATGAAAATAACCTCAACCTCACCATTAATCAGGAAAATGCAAAATAAGGATTTTTTCTTTTTTGCCCATCAGATAAAAACTATCAAGTGTAGATAAGGCTACATGGGGAAATGAGCACTTTCCATACATTTGGTGAAAATATAGTTATAAAGGTTTTGGGGAAGGCTAAGGTGGGTCTATCAGAGAGCACACTCTTTGACCCAACCAATCCACCTTATACGACTCCATCAAGAAATAGTCACATATTCACACACATACACAAAGATATATGAAAAAGATATTTACTTTGGCAATGTAATAGCAAGAGAAAAAAATAAGGGAATAGTTAAATAAGGGCATCTTCATAGTATTGAATCCTATTCGACCATTCAAGAAATTTAAAGAACTCAGGTTTTGAGACAAAAAAAGCAAGCTGCAGAATACATATGATCCTATTTATGTAAAAATAGCATTTATATGTGTACATATATTCATATGGAAACGTATGGAAAGGAGACTAGATGGACGTACACTAAACTGTGGGCAGTGGAATGTGATTGGAAGCACTGGAGAAAAGGGTCTCTCTGCTTTTATACTTATGTTTCATTTAAGTTCTGTACAATGAAAAGGTAGTCATTTATCTTTCATAATTAAAAAAAAAGGTGGGGAAACAGAATTCACAACAGGAAATGCAAATAGCCACTAAACATATGAAAAGATGTTCCTCCTTATTAATAACCAAAGAAAAGAAAAATTTTGCCTATCAGACTGGCAAAAATATTTAAGGATTCAAAGTTGGTGGGAAAGTAGGCAAACAGGCACTCTTACTGTTGATGGAGTTGTAAATTGGTACAACCTTTTGGGTGGTATTTCTCTAAATGTTAAATGTGCACATTCTCTGACCCAATAAATCCACTTCTAGCTATTTATCCTACAGAAATACCCAGATAGGTAGCAAAATACATGTACAAGGATGTTACCTATACCTTTATCCGGAATAAAAAATGGGAAAGAACTTAATTATCTATCAATAAGGGATTGGTTAAATAAATTACTATATTCATGCAATGGAATAATATGTAGCCATGAAAAAACAATGTCTACATCCAAGTGGGAGGGAGGAGAGGAAGTTTTAGTGCAGTACATGTAAAATGGGGCTAGGTACCTACCTCATACAGTTGCTGTGAGGATTAAGAGTTAATCCTTGGTAAAGCGCTTCTAACAGTGCCTGTATACAGCAACCACAAGTGTCAGCTATGAACACATTTTGTTTAAATATGTATATGCCTAAGTCTGGAAAAATAACAAATCAAATAATTATTACTTCTGAGTAAGATTGTGAAAAGGAATGTCCTTTTTCATTTTACATTTCTGTACTATAGAAAATACAAATAAGCACGTTTAATAGCTTTCACATTTGTTAACCATAAAAAAGCATAAAATTTTTCAATCAGGTTTAACAGCCATCACTCATGGCATAGTGAAAATTATATGTCCCTGGAGTTCAAAGAACTAGATTTGAGTTTTAGCTCTAATTGGCCACATGCAAGTCACACGATCTCTGAATCTTGCTCTCCTAGTCTACAAATCTAAGTGAGATAGGTATAGGGTCTAATCCAATGCCTGGCATGCAGATTATTTCAATACATATAACCCTCCCTTCAACTTACATAAATGTGATAGACATATTGCTAAATGATCAAGTGCCAACGGGGTGTGAATGTGAGGAATTTAACCTCCAAGAAAACCAGAAGAAAATTTAGCAGTAACGAGCACACACTCAGTGGCTACTGGGCAGGTATCAGCAGTCTGCATGCCATTCACAATGACTGCTCATTTGCTAACCAAACAGATGCCACTGCTTGGCAACTGCCAGATCACCACTTCATCAAAGGCTGGCTAACCCCCAGAATTGCTAACTATGATCATCTGTGTGGGTATAAATGAATGTCAGGATGAAATCATAAATCATTACTGAATAGCTATTTAAAATCAATTTGTCTAGTGGGGACTTAGCCTGACCAGAGATGGCAAGTTCAGACTACTACTTCCTTTTCCTGTATACCATCACTCAGTCTTTGGGTCCAGCCCGTTTTCCCCAAAGAGCCTTGCCTTAGTCTCAGAATCTCTTCTAAACAACCCACACATATCAGAGCTGGCAAGCTAAACACATATTTGCCAACTCTAATACAACATTTTTCTAAGCTCTCACATTATACCAAACATCTTTGGCATTTATGACAAATCTACCAGAGGGAAGCTTCTTTGTATACAGGAAATATGCAAGATCTTAAAAAGTGTGATGTTCTAGCCACTGAGAGGTTGCTCCCTTCTTACCTACTCTGATACAAGAATTCTGTCATCCCAGCAGAAGAATTCCAAATATGCCACCTCAAAACCTACTTGGAAAGAAGCCAGTTATAAATAAATCAACTCAGGATCATTTTATCTTAGAGCGGAGGAATTTATACCTTTATTGGACATTGACTTGTTTCCTCTCAGCCACAGAGAAAAAGACCCAAACAAAAGTCCCTACATTTTCTTGTATAACTTAAAATACATTATATCATTACTACATATTTATACTTCAATAAATCTTAATCTATAAAGCACATTTCTTATAATTAATTGTTATCAGAAAATCTACAAACAAGCTCCATTCTGCCTCACTTCTCCACCAGCTGGCCTTGCATGTATTACTATGCTTTTTAACAGGCTCATGCAAATCTCACCTTCCATTTCTTACTTTGATCCAAGCACCAGATGCAACCAAAATCTCTGGAATTATGAAATACTTTTATTCACATGGGTCATTTTCCACACAGTGACACCCACTATAAAAAAGCCTTTTCTCATAGTCTATATTTTAACTTCCAGAGTTTTCCACTAAACAGTAGAACCACAGTACTTGGGATTCTCAGCCAAGGAGTATATAATCCTACTACTACAATGTATTACTTTTATACATTTTTAAAAATGTGTTAAGATTTAAAGTTAAAAAAAAAGTTCAATCAATTCTGATAGTTAATAGTTGTTAATAACCTAGTTGTTTATTTTTTAAATAAAACAATCCATTCAACTTAACCTGTAAGTGCAACCTCAATGCTACTAGAGATTGATTAGTTTTTTAAAAAGACCCACAAACCTCCAAACTGAGAGAGAGTATATTGGACTCACCTCTGAAGACTGCTGGAGAGCTGGCTAGCTCTTTGAGCTGAGTCTTCCTTTCCCCCAAATAAAACACCCTGGTAAGAGAACTATGGCTCTGGGAATCTCAGAGGTGATCTCCCCCAGGACTGCTCTGACAGGGGGAAGAAGCTAACTCACATGAAACAGCTTTGTACCAAACCCCCAATAATTTACAGTGGAAGAAATACCTACCTACTTATGGTAGGGTTACAGTACCTAGCACAGTGCCTTGTCGGTAGAAAATGTTTAATAATAAATGCATGGCTGCTTTGTTAGCCTGGTGTTCAACCATTTTGTACCAAAGGAATAAAACAGCAAACCTGATACTTGTTGCCCACCTGTCAGGGATTTTACTGTCCTTAACAAAAACGAAGGCATATAAATAATAATGAATTCCATCTTCAAGTTCAAGTCTCTTGTGTTTTCTAAAAGCCAAGACAGACCATTACTCTTGTTTACATTTGCCCTTCAACATTGCCATTCACTACAAATTCTTCCCCAGTGTGGTAATTTCTACTTGCATGGTTTACAATTGTTTATGGTTTAGACCATCCACTTTCTAATGATACATGGGAGAACATTATTTTCATTAGCGGAAAGCCTCCAATTTACAGATAAGCTGTTTTTGAGTTTTCCTGCAGGCAGATAATTACATTTAGATAATAAATGTAATTATAATTGATAAATTTCAATTCTTGGATCAAAGCATTTGTATATCCTCCCTCGTCTAGGTGGCCCATTTGCTTTTTGATGTTTTATCATCATCCTTCTTATCTGAGTTTTAAGGCTCATTTTACTCTGAGGCTTTTGGTCATCGTTTATGTTCTGTTTTCTGAAATGCACATTCAAATCAGATAAAAGGAAACCAAAGGGTAAATTTTGAAAATATGGTTTCCTTTTTCAGATTTTATAATTCCTATGTTGCCTTTTAACGTAGAAGGGAATGTATTCTTGCAAAGAACATTTCAATGATCAACACAGAAATAATGTATCTGTCTAAAAAGGAAACTTTTAAGAAAGGGACAAAGAATCAGGTAGTTCACTATTTGGAAAAATAATAAGAATATAAACATCACATGGAAGATTTAGGCATTAACACCTGAATTAAGTTTAAAATTTCAGTTTCTAGGCAGGTATGACACCATTTCTTTCAAGATAAAATAATAATGGTGGGTGAAGATTTTCTACATTTCCCAGTGGATTTTCTAACAGTCTATAGGGAAACAAAACTATTATGTATCATTTCATGTTTTTGTCTTCATTTCTGAAGAAAAAGACCTGAGTGCTGATTTTTTTTTTCAATTTCTTAAACTTTCACAACATTCAGAAGTTTTTCTGCATTGTGTCTTCGCTGATGTCTAAAAAGATTTGAACTTTGACTATAGGATTTCCCACACTGAACACATTCGTAAGGTTTCTCCCCAGTATGGATTCTCTGATGATTAATAAGCCCAGAATTCTGGCTAAAGGCTTTTCCACATTCAAGACATTTGTAAGGTTTTTCTCCAGTATGGACTCTCTGGTGTTGCACAAGGATGGAACTTCTGCTGAATGCTTTCCCACATTCAACACATCCGTAGGGTTTCTCCCCACTGTGGATTCTTTGATGAAGAATAAGGGCTGAGCCCTGACTGAAGTGTTTTCCACATTCATCACATATATGTTGTTTCTTTCGAGAGGGATTTCTCTTTCTTTCAAACCTGCCCTTGGGGAAACAAGCTTCTCCATATTTAAAAATCTGAGGAACACCTATATTCAGAGTGCCAGGAACTTCATGAGATTCTCCTGCTGAAGGAATCTCTTGCTTTGGAGCTAGTGCTCCATTTTCAGTCCTAGTATCATCATCTGAAATAAACAGAAAATGTAAATATCACTCATTTCTATTCTGGGAGAAAAGAACCTAAAGGAAAAATTTTTTAAAAATAAACTAAAAATAAATAGCTTGCGCATATATCTATAAACAGCACTCTGAAAACTGGTGTTAAGGTTGCCTACTCTCAAGAGAGAAAAAAATGAGGCTAATGAGGTAATGGCATGATAACACAACGAGGGATTAAAAGGTTAAATCTGAATGAAAGTGGTAACACAGGCAGGTGGGTTATAAATGGTGGTCAGAAAACAAAAGGCAGAAAGATGGTCAATTATAACACTATTTAGGGAGACAAAGTAATGCAGCTAGCTCTATATGAAACTTTGTTAAAAGAAAAATAAAATTGGCCATTAGGAAATTATTATAATATTCTTTTGCTTTGAGAAAGGGATAAATTACCTCAAAATACAATGGTGTAAATAATAAGCAGTCAGTCAGAAAATGACTGTTTCTGAAATGAGCAAGCAGGTCACAGCCAAGATTAGACTAAAAGCAGAACACAGGAGGAGACTGGACAAGCCGGGGCTGAAGATAAGCTGGGAGCATCCTGTGTTAATTTAGGACATGACATTTACAAATTCAATATGCCCTTAATAAATGCAAGTTTTCCTGTAAAAGCAGCTTGCCCTATTTGGTATTTGTCATGATGAGTGGAGTTGTTATTTCTAAGCCTCAGTTAGATGTGTCTGGTGAAAGAAAAGCCTGAATTACCAACATGAGGTACCAGCACCCACCTGCAGGCAGCAGTATGAGCAAGTCTCACTTAAGATTTTCCTGAAACGTCAAGCCTTCAAGAGTCAAGACAGTTACTATAGGGAGAGCAGCAGCACTCAGAAAAGTGGTAAATAGGGAGCAAGTCTATAATAAATGATTACAAAAGGCATAAAGTCAGGAGAGAAGGCTGACAGAGACCAAAGGGGTCGAGGGGACTAGTGAGGCCTGGAGACTTGACAATAGAGGAATGAGTGCGAAGGTGAAGTGGGGACAAATGGCACAGAAAGTAGTAAGTTCCCACGTGTGGGAGAGATTACACTGCTGAAATGAGGCTAATTAAAAACTGGTGAAAATTATTCTAAAATTCAGGTAGGGGATAAGTTTTCTACCCAAGAAAATGCCACCTCCAAAGACCAGTTATACAGGTTCTCAAACTTTATTGTACAGAACAGATGTCCCAGGAAACATGTACAATTGCAGATTCTCAGCAGACTTTAGCCCTATCCCAGAAGTTCTGATTCACTAGCACTGTCCCCCTCAGATGGGAAGAAAACCTGCTCAGACCTCATTCTGTAGCACACCAGTGTCATCTCCAACTACCTCAAGGAATGACTGCCAAAGCAGTCTCAAAATTTCATTCTAGGGGGCTGGCCCAGTGGCGCAAGTGGTTAAGTGCACGCGCTCCGCTGCGGTGGCCCAGGGTTCGCTGGTTCGGATCCCGGGCGCGCACCCATGCACCTCTTATTAAGCCATGCTGTGGCGGCGTCCCATATAAAGCGGAGGAAGATGGGCATGGATGTTAGCCCAGGGCCAGTCTTCCTCAGCAAAAAGAGGAGGACTGGCAGATGTCAGCTCAGGGCCGATCTTCCTCACAAAAAAATAAATAAATAAATAAAAATCTCTTATTAAAAAAAAATTTCGTTTTAATTCATATAAATATGAAAAACAAATCTAGCAGTTTTAGGAATATTATAGGTTGTATCAAGGTATACAAATAAGTATGCAGCATTAATTGCCAATATACTGGGAACAACTAGTCTGAGTTATTAGAATTATACCTTTTTGTATAATTTTTCTGTATTTAAAGCATATTATAGGGCCAGCCCCGAGGTTTAGCGGTTAAGTGCGTGCACTCCGCTGCTGGCGGCCGGGGTTCGGATCCCGGGCGCGCACCGACACACCGCTTGTCCCACCATGCTGGGGCCGCGTCCCACGTACAGCAACTAGAAGGATGTGCAACTATGACATACAACTATCTACTGGGGCTTTGGGGATAAAATAAATAAATAAAATTATAAAGCATATTATAGCTAGGGAGCCTATTTTTGCATAAATACTTAGAGAAGGTGAAGAGTTTTGTCCAGAGATCATTTCTACAAAAGAGGCTTCTTTAAAAAAAATGACTCAGAATTTGAAGGAAAAAACAAAAATAGCTAAAAATTTAGAAAGACTTCATTGATAAACTGGCAAACAAAAACAGATTTGAAGAGGCTTCAGGTAAGTTTATTGTACCAACAGGATTAGGCAGGAGACTGAAAGGATGTGAAACAGATAGCAAATAAGCAATAGCGCATACAAAATAGACGGACGTGGTCAATAGGTGGGTGTTGCCTCAAAGAAAGGCAAATGCCAGCCTGAAATGGGCAAGTCTTCAAGAAAGAGGTGAAAAGGAAGAAAAGGCTAATGATGGCAAAATCTAGGAATAAAAGACCTGAGGTCAGCAAACCAATGATGGTGACAAGGAAAGAATCAAGATCCTACTGTGTATTTATGTCTAAGAAACCAGGTAAAGGTGATCAGCCCCCCACCCCACCCCGCTGCACTGAAAACAAGCGAAGAGTTCTGGACAAAAGACCCACACTCTCTTCCACCCTCTAGCCCATGGAGTTCTGGTCCTCACCACAGTGCCTTAGGGAATGGAGCTCCCAGGATGCCCACTTGAGCTGGTTTTCCACAGCATCAAGCTCAGAACTTGGTAATCCCTGAGCTTCGTCTTGAGACACTATCTCCTCTACTAGCACTTCTCGTTTTCGCCGACGGAGAGAAACCTGGAAATAATAATATTTGGTTTAGTTGAGAAAGGAATGTGATGAGAATCAGAACTAAACACACCTAACAGAAACCATACAAAACATATACTGCAGAGGGTTAGATGGCAAAGCAGCAGAGATGATGGGAGCAGTGCGGGAATGGGGTAGGGGAGGCATAAACATAATTCTAACTTAGTTGAATGGAATTAATTCAGCTTTGCCTACTGCTATGCCAGTGCTGCTGACCCAGGAAAGTGACACGAGCAGGCTCACCGGCTGTCCAGGGTCATCTAGTTCACTCTCTAAATCCTCCAGCACTGTCACGGCCTCCTCTCCATTCTCTGGATGATGCTCTCGAACCCAAGTCTGTAGCTCCTTGGGTAGGATGGCAACAAACTGCTCGAGCACCACCAGCTCCAAGATTTGTTCTTTTGTGTGTGTCTCTGGCCTGAGCCATAGACGGCAAAGTTCTCGAAGCTGGCTCACAGCTTCACGGGGCCCAGGTGAATCCTGGTATCCAAACTGCCTGAATCGCTGTCGGAAAACTTCTGGGTCAGGCAGATGGTTCCAGGGGATACTTGATCCCTCTTCCCCATCGGGATCCTCTTCCAACTTCACTCTCAGAATTTTTTCCTCTTCATCTGGAGTTGGGATGATAAGTATTGAATCTTCTTCCACTGACTGTGCAGACATCCTGATTTATAATACTTCAAGGAAAGACAATCAAGGCAGGATACAGGCCTCAGGGAAATACTCCGTTTTCTTCACAAGCACTCTTGAGACACAAGAAATAAAAAAAAAATCAGTGTCCAAATATCCTAAGTATTTGGACATATACTGATAAAGGAAGTAAAAATATTTGTTTTTTTACCAGATTATAAATTCCAATCAATAACCTACACCAGAAGTTGGCAAACTAGAGCTCACGGCCAAATCTGGCCCACTGCCCATTTTCGTGCAATGCTTGTAATAACAATAGTTTTCACATTTTTATATGGTTGAAAAAAATCAAAAGAATACTTCATGATGTGAAAATATGAAATTAAAATGTCTGTGTCCACAAATAATTTATTTGTTCACGGTTTATGCTACAATGGCAGAGTTCAGTAGCTGTGACAGCCAGACATATGGCCTGAAAAACCTAATATTTATTATCTGGCCCTTTAGAGAAAAAGTTTGCCAGTCTATGACCTACAAAATCAACAAACCCTATTTCAATAATTAAAGGAATTCAAGTAAGAACCAGCCCAACTCAATGTTTTCTAAATGCATTTGACCCTAGAACACATTATTTCCAATTCAGGACGGGTGTTGCCTGAGACACTTATGTCAACTCAAAAGCAGGCACTCCTTTTTTTATCCGCTTACAAAAAATTCCTTTTAACAAAATGTTTTTTTTAAGAGTTAAGAAATATTTTTAAAATGTTTAAGAACTCCCTGGACTTGAAATATATGCTAAAAAAATTCACTTGCTCAATAACAGATAGCACAATATTGAAAAAAATTAACCACTAGGTGCCATAAAATACAAATATTATTCAGTCACCCACCATACCATAATTACATTTAAATTTATAATGACAGGCATTAATCACAGCAAATTCTATGAAAAAAAGGCACTCTCCTAACACCTTAACTTTTTGCAGCGGCCCAGAATCTCGTCCTTACACTGGATGACTCACAGTCTTCCCAGCTTCTACCTTCAGGGAAACCTTGTGCTATTTCTTCCTTTCCTTAGTATTTGCACAGTCATGCCCGTGCTATTGTTTACAACACATATTAGGAATGAGCCATTATGTAGCTATTCCGGGCCCAGAATCTTAAGACCAATAATTTCAAAAAAACTTCTGGTAACCCTATCAAGACTAGAAATCTGAAAAGAACAGACAGGTAAAACATACAGGTTTAATTAAATACTTTGGAGTGTGGTGGCCTCATAAATACGGTTCAGCCAACAGATTCGTTCGTTCCTATTCGACCCTACCTTATCAACGGCTCAAGTATTCCACAGAAGAGAAATTTCTCCTCTTCCCTTTATATTTCTTTCGGCAGCTTGCTCGAAGGACGTGAAGGAGGTGCCAGGAGATCACCCCACCTCACTCCCGCAAAGCGCAGCTGCGAGGCTCGCCCCCGCCCCGACGACCTCCAGCCCCTCTTCCAGGCACTCGCGGCGGCGGATTTCAGATGACCAAAGGCACCCTGCCTCAACGGCGTCGGAGCCACGGCACTTCCGCCCGCGGCCGGGGGAACTACAAGTCCCGGCAAGCCCCGCGCAAGGACCGCCCCCTCCCACCTCCGCCCGAAACGAGTCCCAGAACCCTCCGCGAGAGGCCAGGGCCTCGAAATAGAACAAAACCACCGGTGGGGGAGGGGGAAGGCGAGGACGGGGGAGGACACACGGGATGGAGGACTCTCCGAGGATGCCGAAAGCCCGATCTGGTCTTCCGTCTACCCCTCTCCGCCCTGCAACTGCTGGGAGCGGAGACCGTGGCCTGTCTGCGCCTCTCAGGGAGCCGAGGAAGGTCCCGCCAGGCTTCTTTGCTGGCTCCCGCCAAGCGGGCCGCAGCCCCTAGCCCAGCGTCCCCCTCACGCCCTTCCCCCACCCTGGCGCAAACCTCCTGCTCAGGGTCCGCAGCAGCTTCGCTGTCCACGGCAGACGCAGAAACGCCGCTCACAAGCCGTTTCCCAGAAGCCCCCGGCGCGGACTGCTTCCGGTCTGCGGGCCCCAGCAGGCGGGCGGAGGCGAAGCCCCGTGTTGCCATGGAGATGCGCTCTGGGCGGGGGAGGGGCGGCCCAACGACAATGACCGCTTTGAGGCTGCGCTTGGCCTCGCGCCTCTCTCCTCGGATAGTCCAGTGTACTTTGTTCCGCTTAAAAGGCAAGGAAAAGAAAGAGAGAATTCTGCCATTAAGATAGTCTTCATGGTTTCACAAACCCTTTCACGTGCATTATCTCATGTGATCCCCTCACAGTCATCCTCTGAAAGTAGTAACAAAAGCTGATATTTATAAATGCTTACTACGTTGTGCCAGGCACTGTCACCGTGCTTTATTTACATGTATTGTCATTAATTTTCACAACAACCCTGTGATGTAGGAACTTTTATTATTCCCACTTCACAGCTGAGATAATTGAGGCACAAGTAAGTAACTTGCCGAGAGCTCATAACTAATGAAAGTGGAGAGCAAGATGTGAAGCCAAGGCATGATTCCAATTTATGGTTCCCACTGGCTGTGCTGCAGAGCTTTTTTTTGACCAATTTATCTACCAGGGAAACAAAATGAGACAGGTTAAGAGCTTTGGCAATGATCTCACATGGAATTTGCAGAATGCATAGTCATGTTCTGACTTCAGGCTGGGCATTTTATACCACAAAACAGCTGCTGAAGTGATCATTTAAAAACATGAATCAGACCACTTCATTCCCCTATTTAAAGGCCTTCAATGGATCCTCACTGCCCTAAGACTGACATAAAAACTCCTTACATCTGCCCGCAAGGCCCCCTGTGGTCTGTTGCCTGCCTCCTCCCTCTGACTTCAGCTCTTAGGCTCACAGTGGCCCAGGATTCTCGGCCTCACTGATTGCCTTTCTTCCTGGAAGCCTTCCCCCTCTTCACAGCACTAGTAAAAATGATCTCATTTATTGCTTTCTCTGTTTTTTTTTTTTTTGTCTATTAAGTCCCATAAGGGCAGGGACCTTGTCTGTCTTGTACACCACAACATCCCAGGCTGCTGACTGCCTGTTACATAGAGAAAACAAATATTTGTTGAATAAATGAATGAATTGTGGGCTGGTCACATTGCTGTCTTTGCTAGGTCACATGTCAGGCATCAGAAACCACACAAAAGAGCCCTGTTGTTTAAGGTCGATGTTAGAAGTGCAGGTCCAGCCTTCCAGAAGCATTCCAAGATGCCCAGGCTTCAGCTGTCTGCCTCATTCAGGAAAGTGTCCTCTACAAAGTACCTTTAGCCTCTGATGGATTTGTGAATGAGAGAATAAATGAGCCAGCAAACTGATGGTATAGCTCTGCTTTACATTCTTTTTTTTTGTGTGTGTGAGGAAGATCAGCCCTGAGCTAACATCCATGCTAATCCTCTTTTTGCTGAGGAAGACTGGCCCTGAGCTAACATCTATTGCCAATCCGCCTCTTTTTTTTTTCACCTTTTCTCCCCAAAGCCCCAGTAGACTGTTGTATGTCATAGTTGCACATCCTTCTAGTTGCTGTATGGGGGACGAGGCCTCAGCATGGCCGGACAAGCGGTGCATTGGTGTGAGCCCGGGGTTCCAAACCCAGGCCGCCAGTAGCAGAGGGCGCGCACTTAACCGCTAAGCCACGGGACCAGCCCCTATGCTTTACATTCTGATAGTAACTTCTTCTCCCCAGATGAAGTTCAATGCCTCTTTTCTCTTTCTTTGATGCCTCTTCTCTCTTCATTTAGGAGGCTTCAGAAATGCAGCTTTTCACTCTCCTACTTGGCTACTGCCATCAACCCACTTGGCTGCTCTTCCCAACCTTTCCCTCTTTTGTCACCCTAAAGGCTAGCTGAAGGCATTTTTGTTTTGTTTTGCTTTAAGAGTTTTTACATCTAATTAATGTTGGAAAACAAAAAAGATAAACAACATCAAACAGAAATACTTGGGGAAGTTAAAAATGTTGCAAAATTTTACAAAACCCTTTGCTAGGATTCCGTTCTATTATTCCTAATTCTTTCTAAGAAAGTAAATGGAAATGACAATGAGGTTATCCTCCCTAATTTACTCTTTTGAGGGCAGGAACCAACAACACCCACTTTGAAACACCATCTTTCTGAGCCCCATCATGTGGGCTCTTTCTTGAGTGATGGCCGTGGTTGCCATCTTAAAGATCTAGTCAAAATGGAGCATCATGTTCCTCTGGGAAACCTGAGTGTAAGGAATAGTTCCATGCCAGCAGGGGCAACCTTGCACGTATCTACATAGGCCACATAGGCGAGGCTTGAACGGCAGCCGATCTGAGTCTTGGCAGAACACCTTGTGATCCTCCCGGAACATGAGAGCACGAGAGCTTTGTGAAGAGCTGCTACAAGGCCATTTGCCACTCAGCATCTTGTCTTCCAAGGAGAGTGTCATGAGACAGTTTCTCATTGCTTCTTGGGTTGTGATAAGGCTTTCTGCTTCACTCCCCTAGAATACAGCAGCGGATTATAAAAAGGCTTAGATGCAGCATGGCATTAGCCCTTCAGCAACAAGGCGTTCCACAGCTCATGTTGCAGTCATCTGGCTCCTTCTGTTTTAGTGTCATCCTTTTGGTGTGTGAGACAAAAGCTCATGGGGAGCTGGCACCTTTGGCTACTCTTGCTTTCACTGTCTACGTAAGTAACAATCTGTCTAAACCAAAAAAGGACTCTTTGTCTTTACCAGCCAGATCTTTCAGCCTTGCCTTGAAAGCATCTCATTCATCAATTAATGGTAAAAAAACAAAAAACCAACCAAACAAACAAAAACGACAGATACTACCTGGGTTTCAGAGAACTAAAGATGACTAAAATGAAGTCATGATTCCTTCTTTTAACATTACCATCTCGTTATGGAGATAGACAAGAAAACAAGTATTTACAAGGCAGTGGAGAAGTGCTTCAGCAGAGAAGGACAGAATACCAGCAGGAGCCCCTAAATGAGGTAGTGTGCTGAGGGGGAAGAGAGGCACCCTGAGGTGGAGGAAACGAAGTAAGAAAAGTTTTGCCTTTGGAAGGAAAGCACAGACCTTCAGACTTGGTGCTATCAGATTTCATCCAAGAGTAATTTTTTCTAGGCTTTTCTCTAATAATTATTTTGGAGCTCTCAGTCCTTCCCCTCAGCTCAAAAGTATCTCCCTCTGGGCAACTTTAAGTACATCAGTTAAAGATTCCATTTTAGCAATTAAGTGCACTGCACCAGGAGTCTTTTGACTGCAAGTGACTAAAAAATTAACTGTGGCAAGGACTGTTAGCTTCTTATATAAAGCACTATCCCTTACTTCTAGTACACCCCTGGTTTTTTGGATTTGGGGTGGGGGTAACACTGTGCTCAGCCATAGGTAATAAGTTGTGACCAGGCTAAGCCATCCATAACCATTCTGTTTCCCTTTGCCAGATACTCACTTGGCCTCCCTGGCAGCTAAGAACGGCTGTATCATTCAGTTCTGGTCAACGAGATATAAGGGGAAGTAGTTTGTGTCTTTCAAGAAATTTATCTAATTCATGGAAGTTGTCAAATATGTTGGCATAAAGTTGTTCATAATATTTCTTCAATATCCTTTTAATGTCTATAGGACCAGTAGTGATGTCCCCTCTTTCATTCCTGAAATTGGTAATTTCTGGTTTCTTTTCCTTTATCAGTTTGCTTGAAGTTTATCAATTTTATTAATCTTTCAAAAAATCTACTTTTGGCTTTCTTTATTTGCTCTGTTATTTGTTCTTTATTTCATGAAGTTCTGCTCATTTTTTAAAACATTTAATGTACGGTAAAATTGGCTCTTTTTTAGGCACATAGCTCTATGAGTTTTAACACATGTTTAGATTTGTGAAACTACCACCAAATCATGATACAGAATATTTCTATCATTCCATAAAACTCCCTCAAGATGTACTCACAACTTTCCTACATCTTTAACCAGTGGCAACCACTGATTTATTTCCATCAAAATCGTTTTGATTTTTCCAGAATGTAATATAAACGGAATCATAAAGTATGTAACCTTTTACATACCTTTGTTCAGCATAATGCCTTAGAGATTCATCTGTGTTGTTGCATGTCTCACTAGTTCATTTCATTTCATTGCTGAGTATTACTGAGTAGTATTTTACTGTAGGTTTCACAGTTTGTTTATCCATTCAACCATTCAACAGAAAGGACTTTCTGTTGTTTCTGGATCTGGGCAATTATGAATAGAACTACTGTAAATACTCATGGACGGGCTTCTGTGTGAACATAAGTTTTTGTTTCTCCAGAGTAAATATCTAAAAGTGGAATTGCTGGGTCGTATAGTGTTATGGACTGAATCTTTGTGCCTGCCCCCCAAATTCACAGGTTGAAGCACTAACTTTCAATGTGATGGTATTTGAAGATGGGCCCTTTGAGAGGTAATTTGGTTTAGATGAGGTCATGAGAATGGGGCCCTCATGATGGGATTAGTGCCCTTATAAGAGACACAGAGAGCTTGCTTCCTCTCTCTCTCCACCATGTGTAGACACAGCAAGAAGATGGCCTTCTGCAGACCAGGAAGAAAGGTCTCACCTGGGAACTGAATCAACTGGCATCTTGATCATCCCAACCTCCAGAACTGTAAGAAATAAATTCCTGTTATTTAAGCCACCCAGTCTATGGTATTTTGTTATAGCAGCTGGAACTGAACAACTAATATATGTGGTAAGTATATGCTTACTTTTATAGGAAACTGACCAACTGCTTTCTAGAGGGGCTACAACATTTTAAATTCCCATTAGCAATGTGTGAGTGTTCCAGGTGCTCCATGTATTCACCAGCACTTGTTATTATCTTTTGTTGTTGTTTAGTCATTCTAATATGTGTATAGTCATATCTCATCATGGTTTTAATTTTCATTTCCCTAAAGGTTAATGATGTTGTGCAATCTTTCATTTCTTTATTTTCTATCCATAAATACTCTTCTGTGAAGTGTCTGTTCAAGTCCCCCCCACTTCATTAAAAAAAATTTTTTTCTTACTGTTGGATTTTG